CATATATATACACACACACACACATATATATATACATATATACACACACACACATATATATACACACACACACACATATATATATACATATATACACACACACACATATATATATATATTTATAAAACCATGTTATATAAAACTAATGGTGGTGTAATTCTTTTAATTTGAAAAAAATATCTAACTTTCGACAGCTCTGACTAGTCGACAGCTCATCAATTCAGTCCGATTTAAACCCAGATCCTTCAAAATAAATGTATTTAAATAATAACTTTTCCGCAAAACCTCATTTCATATTTATTTCTTTAACTAAAAAAAATTGCTGAATAAAAGTGAAAAACATCAAAATAAACATTAAAGTACAGAAAAAAACTACTTTAGTGATTTTTTTTTATTATTATTTTTATATGAAACCTGGTAAAARCTCCTTATGCTGAAGAAAATAGAATCCTTTGGTAAATAAAGTATGTATTTGAAAGATATTCAACGCTAGGATTTGCTCCAGGTTAGCTCCCCCTGTYTATCCCCGGACACTTAAACAGATATCGGGCCTTTCTGTCCGGTGCTGAGGTTGCAGGTTCGAGCCCAGGCAGGGTCAGGAGGGGGCGTCCGGCGGAAAACAATCACTYCATCCTCTTCCTGCAGGAGGGAGCAGCAGGGAGGAAAAATCAGCTCTAACCTGAGCAGCTGAGGTGTACTGCTCCAGCCTGTTGTCTATCTTGGACACCACAGGAGAATGAGACGCCTTCATCGTGCTAAAAAAAAAGAAAAAAGAAAATAAACAGTTTAATGTTGCCTCAAAGCTAAAATATATGAAATCTTTAACTTTTTACCTTTTCTGAGCCGACTTGTTCAGAAACTCTGCTCTCTCTCCGATCTGCAAACAGAGGTTATAKACACTCAGCTCGTATTTGTCACGACTGATTGATGAAGTTTTGTCCTCAACATGCACACACAAACAAGAGACACATCACACTCCTTCCTATTCTCACCGTAAGACTGTGGGAATCTGGGAGGATTGTTTATGAAATGTGACAAGAGGGCAAAGCTCCTCAGACAAACCCAAAAGAAACGGTGCAAAAAGGGTCTTTTTCCCCCTGTGTTTTTTTTTTCCTGTAAAAACGAAGCCGAGCTGCTACCGAATGTGGGAGTCCCCAAAAATAGCCTCGGACAGGAAATTCCCCATTCTCAGACGCGTTTTAAAAGAGCTGCAGCCGCCCGAGCGCGGTTACAGTAATCCTGCTGACCCTAATCGTCTTCCTGCATGTCCCCGCCGCAGAACCCTGCTCCTTATCTGACAGGGTTCTGCTGCTTTAAGGCTGATAACAGCCAGGAGAACGCTCAGTGCCCAGAGGCTTATTCCCAACGTATAATTTCAATCTAACAGCAGAAATAGAAGAGGAAAAAGAAAAAATGCTGGAATAAAACAGAYCGGTGTATATTCTCCACTGCTTCCACGTGTTATTGAAATCTGAAATGAGCTCCTGAAGGTGTCACCGAGGCATGAAATTCACTCGGCACAGAAATTGAGCAGGAAATTGCGTGAACGTGCCCCCCCCCTAAAAAACAGATATATTTCACCCCGAGCAGAGTTGCACAGCAAAGCAGCGGCAAACAGATTCAGGCCATTCTTTGGACGTTTTGTCTAAAACTTTGAGARGCGTTCACCGAAAACTAAAACCTTTAAAGTGCCCGTGACATGAATTTTTTTAAAAATAAATACAAAGGGATTATTGGAAAGGTAACATCAGTAACATATTGCAAAAATAAATTCCCGCTGCTGAGATGAACAGTTACTGAGATATTTACATTTGAAGTAACAGGAAGTGATGTCAAAGGGGAATGCCTGCATGGATTAGAGCANGCTAAACAATAGAGGTACATGAGAAAACGTGTTCATAACCAATGAAAATAAATAAACAAATAAATAATTAAATTGTGTCTGTGCCGGTCTCAAACCCTGGTCTCCTGCTCTCTGGTCCAACACTCTACCCATTGCCCTATTGGAGGCTTGTTGTGAAATGAGCTGTGCATTGCACAACAACAACGATGACTGCTTTTTATACCGAGTAGGTGGAGCTTCACCCGGGGGTTGCTAGGTAAGGGGCTGAACGTAGGTTCCGGTGGGTTGTTGTACAGCTTGTGACATCACAAAATGACAGAAGTATAAAACTTGTCGTTAAAATACATTAAAAATACATTTACTTACAGTAAATATGCCCCTGGGTGCATTTTTTTGGTCCTAGGACTGTTTTTTTTAAGAAGTACATACCCAAAGTTGAGTAAAAAAACCTTTAAAAAGTGAATTTTGCATAATAGGTCCCCTTTAAAATTTCAATTATTTTGAACAAAAACACGAGTGATTTTTTTCCCCTAACAAMAGCCTTCAGAGCCTCGAGGTACATTCTGAACATAAAATAATCTTTTTCGTAAACAAACTCCACATTTGGAAAATCTTAAAAAGGCCATTCTTGAGATTTTACAACAGTAATATGTCATAATCGGCCCAAAGCAAGGTCGAAGAGCTTTCTGAAACAGGTAAGATATTTATTGTCTGTCCTCATAAGTCCACGTTAAAGGACTGAGGTGGGCTTACCTTCAGAGAAGAGCCACGAGGGCTGACGCATTTGAACGGTTTGCCCTCCCCGTCCGGAGCGTCGTCGGCCTTCTGCCTCTTCTCAGCAGCTTCTGCTCTTCGTTTTTCAATCTCCTCCTTCATCTTCCTTTTCTCCTCCTGACAGAAAGAGTCGAGGCAGAGCTGATCAGTTTTTTTAGTCTTTAAGATGTTCCCACCTTGTTTGCTGACATAGAAGGTTCTAGTCAAACAAATAATTCACAACTAATGGATTTGCACTGGCTTGTTTTAAACTCTAAATCAGTTATTCTGTGCTCTACAGTGATACAAATCATCAGCCAGGCTAACTTCTTCATTTTAACAAGTTAAAAGCTGTGAACTGAAACACGGAGACCCTATGGTGTATTTAGGTTTAGGGTTTTATCTGCATGTCTTTTTCAATCCAGTCTAACTTRATTTGTAAAGCACTTTATGCACCACAGCAGCAGCAAAGTGCAGAATCGTTCAAACACAACTTATGCAAAACAAATTCAATAAAAAAAACAGGAAAAATAAAAGCAGGAAATAACAGTAAAATACCTAAAACCTAAATAAAATCTACAATAAAGTCAAGAAAKTTTCTACAAAAAATAAAATCTGGTCAAAGTGGACAACACAGCCCCCCACAGAACGAAAAGCCAAAGAGAATTTGGTTTTAAAACGGGTTGAACGGTCTGAGGTGCAGGGCTGGCTCGTTCCAAGGTCTAGGAGCTGCAGCAAAAGATCGATCAGTTGTTTTTTCACAGTATGACTTCATAAAATTCAGTTTTATTAGAAAAAACATTACAAATAAATAAAAATCATGAATAATTTGGGTTTAGCTCCAGTATCAGTACTTGTAATTGCATTTTATTTAACATCTCAATGCAACAAAAGTTTCTTCAGCTAAGTTGCTTAACTTACGTTCTCCGGTTTATGATAAATTTCCAAACTCAGCCATAAAATAATAATAAAAAAAAACCCTACCCTTTCTTTGTTTTCTTGTTTAATTTGCTGACGGCGCAATGAACTCTGGGATACAATCGGCTGCGTGGGATACTCAGATGCAGCCGATGTTTTCAGGGTTTTGTCAGCCGCAAGAGTAGGCGTCTACGAATTGGGACAGCCTACGGCGCGGGGCGGGGACGTAAGCGGCCGAAGAAAGCTTGGTTTATACTACGAGCCACACGTCTTGTTCCCCCTCTGAGTGACAAAAAATTGTGTAACTTCCGCCTGTTCTCCCGCTGCTATCCCCCGGTGACAGCTGTCGTGTGCATTGCTCCCAGTCAGAACTCTGCGACGTGGACCTTGCAGCTCGGAGCTCGTGATTGGCCAGAACTTTGTGGGCGTGTTTGTTCATGAGGAGCTACGCAGCTTAGCAGCTCTTCCTTCTGCATGTCCTTTTGTTTAAAATGATGTTTTTTCTGAAGCCTTTTGTTAGAAGAGCTGGAAGAGCAGCTGGTTTGATTCTATTGAACATGAGCATGAAGCTGATGTTCACGTCTTTGTCCCATCACCACGTTAACAAAAAAAAAAAACAACAAAAAACCTAAGATTTTTCCTTCGAGGACTCTTCACCCAACACAACACTGATCGTTACGTGAAAAAAAAAACACACACAATATCCAGCCACCATTATTGTTGTTTTTTTTACTTATATGCAGAGGTAGGTAAAAGTACTTGAAAAAAAAATAAGTAAATGTTACCAATTATTTTAACATAAGACAAATTACAGTAATCCTACTTACAATGTTAACATTTTTAAGACCTCTTAAGATTGATTTAAGACATTTTAAGGCTAATTAAGGCCATATTTTTTATTGATGGGTTTAATGCCTTTATAAGTTTTAAGACTAAGAATCTGCAGGATAAATACACTTTAATAAAAAAAAAGCTAGCTTAATGAGTCACGTAGTTCAAACCTTGCTGTTGTGATGTCAAGCATTATTTATTTCCTAAACATTTAACTCAAATTGGTTATTTTACGGTTTAAAAAACACTGTTTTTAGGGGAGTGGGAGGGGCTTACAGTCTCAAAGCCCCAAATGAGCAGACTCTGGTTCCAAAAATACAACACAGCAGCACCGATGAACTAATTATTACTGGCTTCACTTTCAGCAATGGGAGAAAGTAAAAATGACAAGTTTAAATGTCAACACACTCAATTTGTTGGCTAATTTTCTTCAAATCCAGGAACACAATGAATTCTTTTAAAAAATGTTATTTTTTTAATTTACAAATGGAGGCAAGGAGGAAACAACATTCCTACAGGAGTGAGGCTCATTCCTGCTAAAAGTGTCTGAAGAGTCAAATCAAAGCTGTCGGAAAAAATATTTTAGAATTCTACACATTTTCATAGCTTGTTGCTAGCTTAAAAAAGCCATAAATCTTATATAAACATAACAGAATTGAGTGAAACTCCAGTCAGTCATGCTGATGTTTTAAACAAAGCTCTTGTGTGATCTGTTAGCCCTCTGAATACATGTTGAGGATGACTCTCAGCTACTACCACACCCAATTTTAGCTCGCTATGTGTAGAAATGACCGAGTTAGAGACATTTTTGAGCTTGCTGAGGAGCAGCTGCGGCGGCCATCTTGAATCAGATTGACTCCCAACGTTAACTGGTTGCAGATTTACATCTTTATTAGGGCTTTAGTTAAATCTGTCCACTGATTAATGCAATATTTCTGCTAACAGACACAAAGCTTTCACAGCGTGCTCGTGGTCCAAACACAGCAGTTAAACTGTGAGAAATAACACACAACTCAACATTTATTAACACAAACCAAAAAGGATGGAAGCTTCAAAAACAGTAGTTTGTGACAAATGACACGCCACACATGAGCAAACACACACACACACACACACACACACACACACACACACACACACACACNAAAAAAAAACTACTTAAGTACTGTAACAAAGTAAATGTACTTAGTTACTGTAAACCTCTGCTTATGTGATCTGTACTGTGTCTTCAGCTTGTTTACACTCGCTCAGGAAAAAGACGTCAGATTTGGTGTCACCCAGGGGGGACAAGATGTGCGACTCGAAGTGTAAAACAAGCTGAACGTCGACCACAACCCATGAATAGAGAGAGCCGATAAGTAGTTATGGATCTAGATGCACTAAATACTTCCTGAAAGTTTGATTAAAATCTGCACAATTCATGGAATATGTTGCTAAACGTCAGGCTGTGAGCAAATAAACCACTGGCTGCTGTTCGTCTCTGGGTGATAAATAAAAAGATTCAGTTTGTCCACTGAGGCAGGTCCCGGACCAGTTCAATCACTCTGAACATACTCTTATTTACAGCTGTCGCCTGCCTCGGTGGACGGGCCCATTATTGGAAAAGCAACATTAAAAACAGTTGAAAAACAACAACAACAACAACAATTAGACAAAAGGTGGCGGTTGGCAGGATGTCAGTCGTCTCCAGCTTCCTTGTCTGGGTTAATTAGCCTCCGTGTATCTGTGGGCCATCTTTTAATTACTCACCAAAAAGGCCTCATTAACATCACACAGGAGTGGCAGAGCGGTGAGAGACGGGCCGCGGTGTTCTGAGCCAACTTCAACAAAGAGGGGAATTTGTGTGTGTGTGTMGGGGGGGGAGGGGGCTTCGGAGCGCCACCGTTTAGGCGAGGGCGGGGACAGAACGGGAGGAGGAGCTTATCGTGTTTGAGATCCAGAAAACTGACAGATGTGAGTTACAGGAGAGCCGCGATAACGGCGACTTGGCGGCGAGATAACGCCAAAGCAGCGCCGCCGTGATGCACTGGTTTAAAAAAATAAAATAAAATGACGAGAAGCAAAATGAGAAATCACCTCCTCTCTGGCTTTCTTTCCCTCCTCCTCCTGCTTGCGCTGCCTCTCCTCCTCCTCCAGCACCTTCCTCCTCTCCTCCCTCTTCTTCCTCAGCTCCTCCAGCTCGGCCTCGGCCTCCTGCTGCTTCTGCCTCATCCTCTCGAACTCCTCGCTCTCGGCGTCGTCGCGGCGGCGCTTCAGCTCCTCCAGCTTGCGCTCCGCCTCCAGGCGGGCGTCCTCGTCCTGCTCGTCGCTGGCCTCGGCCGAGCGCACGCTGCCGCGGCTGAAACACACACAGACACACTCCTGACATTTGATCGGTGCTAAATATTTAAACACACACTCGGAGTGTTACACACTCACACTCACACACACACACACACACACACACACACACACACACACACACACACGCACACTCACGATGGAATTACAGCTCATCTCAAAGCTGAGGACAGGGTTTCTACAGTTTAAGGCAAGTTAAATTTAAGACCTTTTAAGACTTTTTTTATGCCAAGTGAAATTAAATTTAAGACCAATTTCATAATAAAATACAAATAAAAATAAATAAATAAATAAATAAATAAAGGTGCCAACCTGGAGTCATCCCAAATCATAATGATTGTCTCGGAGCATTTGTGTCGCGCGGCGTGCGTTCGTTTTTGGCAGTTTGTGCGCATAGGCCTGTCACGATAACAAATTTTGCTGGGCGATTAATTGTCTCACAAATTATTGCGATAAGCGATAATATTGCCTGGTGACCGTTTTACAACTAATAATTATAAAAGTGTAATATGTAAGTGTAATAAATCAATAAACTTTCATTTTTAAAGAATGTTTAACAAAGTGGACTCTCAGTCTCTAACAAAAAATGTACTTGAATTAAAAAAACCCAAAGAACAACAAAATGTAAATTAAAAACCACACACAACTAAGACAGTAAATAAACAATATTAAAGAGCAGCATCTCTTTAGAGATGAAGCAAACTACACAGCCTGGTGAGGACCCATTGTTTCTTATGGAGACATAAGCCCAGTTCACATCCTATGTAAAGTTTAGGCTAGGTTTAGGGTCAAATGGTAATAGAAAATAATGGTAAATGAATGAAAGTCAATGCAAAGTCCCCATGAGGATAGAAGAACCGGACCGAACTTCAGTCAAACAAGACCCAACACTTTTATTCATAATTTAAACTAGTGATCTTGTGAGCAGCTGCAGCTGCATGCTTTTATTTTTTTATGTCAGGCTGTCGCGGAGCGCTCCTCCTCCTCTGTCCGAGGCTGGTGAGGAGGACGGCTCAGCCGAGGCTGCTGGAGCTCCAGGTCCTGATCCACGGAGCCAACATGAATCAGTCCCAGACTGAGCTGACTTGATTAAGTCTCTCTCTGCCTCTGGTGAGGAGGGGGGTGAAAAATCCTCCACCTCAGACCGTTTAGAGATGTAGCTATCTGCGATACTGTGGTCACTCTCCATGTAGCATCAATTATGCTAATGCTAGCTGCCTGTCGCGTTCTCTCGTCCTGGCCAAACCTCCGCTCTCTAACCCCCCCTCCCCTACTCACACCCCCTCCTCTACCCACTTTGATGCATTTTTCAAATTTCGCCTTGTGACGGAGTTATCTTTTCACGGGGGGTAAGATACACCTTAAAGGGACCTATTATGCAAAATTCACTTTTTAAAGTTTTTTTTTACTCAACTTTGGGTATGTACTTCTTAAGAAAACAGTACTAGGACCAAAAAAATGCACCCAGGGGCATATTTACTGTAAGTAAATGTATTTTTAATGTATATTAARGACAAGTTTTCTACTTCCGTTATTTTGTGATGRCACAAGCCGTAKGACAACCCACCAGAACCTGCGTTCAGCCCCTTACCTAGCAACCCCCGGGTGAAGCTCCACCTCCTCAGTATAAAAAGCCGTCACGGTTGTTGTTTTGTAATGCGCAGCTCATTTCACAACAAGCCTCCAATAGGGCAATGGGTAGAGTGTTGGACCAGAGAGTGGGAGACCAGGGTTTGAGACCAGCATGGACACAATTTATTTATTTTCATTCGTTATGAACACGTTTTCTCATGTACCTCTATTGTTTAGCTTATTAAAGCCTTGTTAAAGCCTATTTGTTCGAGTTTCTGAGGTATTTTGACCGCTGCTGCTCCCTGCTCTGGTAACAGCATGCAGAGGAGGGAGAAAAAAAAAGAAAGAAGCTGCGACCGACTCTGCCTCTGGGTCTCTCACGCAAACGCTGGCTTTGGAGGGCGGAGTTAATGTCAGCAGATTTTTGGAGGGCGTTACCAACAGAGCTCATTAACATAAACAGCTCTTCTGAACYGAAGTCAGAGCAGGCAGAACTAGAAAATGTGAAATTTTATTATCTGAGAATTATTTTGTGCATTAAATTAAATGAACACGGTCTGGATAGCCCACAGACATACCATAAACATTTCTAGGACCCATAATTTGGTCTCCTTTCAAAGTAAGATCAAAATAATCATGTCAAATCAAATAAAGGGGTTTTTATATAATATGAAACTACTTGCTTTCAAGTAACTATTCAGGTTTTTTTAAGCCTTTTTTAACTTGTCTGAGACTTAAATGCACCATTAATAAATCAGCTCTGTAACAATCCTAGGACCTGGTTCTGGGTGAGAACTAGACAGTCGGGTGTACCTGGGGGTCCTCTCAGGCTTCCTGTGCTGTTTGGGAGCCGCCTCCTCGTGCAGCCCTCCGTTGTGCTTCCACTGATCCTCCCTGTCCTCCTGGAACCCGCCTCTCTCGTTCACCTGCGTTTCCGTCACACACACACACAAAAAAACATCAGCGGTGAGGGGGAGAGGTCGAACGATGGAGAAGCTTTAAGGGTGAAAAGATGATCAAACACTGTGTTGAAGGAGAGGAAGAGTGCTGAAATAAAAATAAAATAAAGTCACATCTCACTGCGTCCACCCCACTGACCCCACTGGTGTCTCAACCCAAGTGTCCATCAACTTAATCTGGGTTTTTCATTATGTGCACAGTCAGCCATGCTTAAAAAAACATAACAAAAACAGTAAAAAAATCCTCATAAAAAGTTCAATGGAGCTTACTTATGAAGAGTTGCTCACTTTACGTTTGGCTGTTTTGAAGTGGGCTTCTGTAGAAACGTTATGAACAATCAATATCTTACCTGCTGTAGATGATTCATTGATTGGCTGTGCACTAAGTTTTCATAATAGTTCACACAAATGCTCTTTTATAAACCTTTACACTGTCAGTTCTACGTGACAAAGTTATTTAAGTGGACTTCTACAGTTCTTTGAAAGCGTTAGCGACCAATGCTGCTAGCTTTAGCATTTTCGGTGCAGCAGGTCCGACAAGAACATATAATATTTCTGCTGGAACGGACATGAAAGTTAGAAAATAATCACATGAACAATTAAAATGAAGACGGCAGCAAATCACTTTGGACTTAGCTGAATTAGGATTAGCCATTAGCTCATCAGTTTTGTCAGGCTGCCTATTCTTTTCCACAGAACACCACTTCAAAATGGCTGAACTAGTCCTTCAAATGAGTCCTGAGGTCTTCAGTTGTTTGTTTAAATAGTAAGGACAGGAACAAATTCAAATTTATTGTCATATAGAGAAAGGTGGGCGATAATCCAATTAAAAAACCTTTCAAATAAAGATGGCTGCCACAGATTTTAACACTAGTGTAACTCGTACTCTTTGGCGTGGTGGTAGCTGAGAGTCATTTACAACACGTAATCTGACAACATTATTTACGTAATGTATTTTGCTTTTCCACAACGCAGTACTAACAGACGTTAAAACCGTTGGCTGGCCGTGCACACAACGTTCTGTCTGAATGATTTGGATTACCGAGTCGTCGGCGTGCCGTCAATGAAATGTGACGTGCTGCTGAGGTGGAAGACGGACAGAAAACACTCTGTGACCACGCTTGTGGAGCAGAAAGGGTTAAATATATAAATAAATAAAAAAACACGCCTCGTTAAACGGCGGCTCGGTCAACCTCAGTTTGTAAATCACACTGCAGACACACGGTGCTTTGGTAATTTCAGCYTCCGACTATGAAGTCAATAAAAGCGCAAAATGCATATCAGGGTCAAAGTAACAAAAAATATAAAAGTGGGCGGAGCTAAATTCAAAGAAAAATCTCAGAATTTTCGTTAGAGTGCTAAATAATTGACTGGATATACTTATTTTAATTTTGCAATCCTTAAATTTAGAAATGCCTACCCAGCTCCTAAAATATTAGCAATAGTCCTATGATGGCATCATAAAAAAAAGAAATCAAGCTTTCTTCTCCTTTAACGATGAATCAAAACACTGAAATTACCCAGAGGGACGTWTTTTTTTCTTTTCCAAGCCGTGCACCACACCTCTACTGAAATCCTTACCGAATGTTTGATACCTCATTATCCTCAGATACCTCAAACTCTTCCTCAGAGCCACGTCTGAGTGACCCAGGCTCTACATTATCATCCTCAGGTACCTCTTCATCCTCCCCTGATGCTACTGCGTCCTCCTCAGCCTCTGAATTTGCTGACTGGGCCTGATTTGAACCCTCACTGACTACCGTTTCTCCTTCAGCGAGTCCCTATGAAAAAGGGTTACAGCGGTTCTTTGAAAACACAGATCTGCGATTGACTCGAGGGTTCACGTCAGAGGAAGACTCCGTCGTCGTACCTTCTGTTGTGTTTTAGGCTCCTCGGTTTCGGCCTGCAGAAACAAGCGTCACATCTGTAGCTCAGGTGCTAAAATGACTGAATAGATGAAGAGCGAGTAAAGCGAACCTGCTCTCTCAGGTTAGACCTTCTCGGTTCGATTTCCTCAACTTCGACTTTCTGCTCCTCCTCCTCCCCTCCTCTCTCCGGAGCAGCCTCCTCCTCCTCCTCCTCTTTGGGCTCGTCTGGCTTCACGCTGTTCGTCACCACCTTCTCCTCCTCGTCGCGGTGACGACGCCAGGAGGGCCTCTCCTCCTCTGTGTCGTTTCTCTCGGTGCCCTCCGTGGCGGTGGGGTCCAGCTGCCTCTGCTTCTCCAGCGCCTCCTTCATGCGTCTCTGCCGCCTCTCCTCCCGCTTGGCCATGCGGTCCAGCAGGGCCTGGTCCTCGTCGTCTCCGCCACCTCCGTAGGAGCTGCTCACGGACACGGACTCGGTCACGCTGATGGGGGGACGCAGAGAACAGGTTTTAAACAACAAAATAAAGGTTAATTTAACCAACCTTTTTTTAAATATTAGTGGTGTTTTAATGTAAAGACGACAAATACTTGATAAACAATTATTTAAACTGTAAAACAAAGACAACAGAACTGCTTCATGGATTGGAGAACCTAATTTTAGCCTGTTAGCTGGGTGCTAACAGGCTGAAACTAATACATATGACGACATAGCGTTAGCACCCAAGCTAATACATATACAGTATGTATATGACAATAAAGCATCAGCTATGTGTAAACTAATGCCACATATTTATTAGTAATATATATGGCATTAGATCCTGAGCTAACAAAGTTAGCTCAATACTAACACAAAAGCTAACAGGCTAAACTGAGGTTCTCTGGACCATATATTTATTTATTTATTTATTTTTCTCTCGTAGGTACTCTAAAAACAAAAGCCCCTGTGAAAATCAGGGCATCACAGTAATTGACCTTGTTGGATTCACTCCTTCATTTCCACCAGGGGGCTCTAGAGTTTGWTTACTTTGATTCTGAAGAACTTTGTGTGAAACTTCATTGCCGCCAATAAAAGAAGCAAATGAATACATTTTATTTAAATTAAAGAAAACTTCTACACACAGTCAAATATTGTAATTTTAAGAATACATATAATCGTATAGATAAATTTTTGTCTTGTAAACGATTAGTGTTTTGCAAAATTAGCWTTATGCTAGCAGCTTTCTATGGGGTTTATACTGTACAATAGCAGTAAATTAGCACTATGCTAACGCTGGTTTCTTGCACAGTTTGGATTAATATTAATATGTTTTTGACTAATGTGTAAAAAACACTACATTAAATGTGGTTTACACTGTATATGAATTAGATTCAGCACAGCTTGAGTTGAAATTTGTTTAATTTACTACAAAAGGTCAAATGCGTGTTTACAAATTTGTTTTTGTTTGTAATAAAATCAAATGTGATTTAATTTTGTTCTGGCAGCATGTGCATTTCACTGGGCATTAAAGAACAACTATCCTTATGTTATATGAAACAGGACTGTTCGTGTACAGTTTAAAAGCCAGCCTCTCTGACGGTATGGGGGTACATTGTGTCTCTGGAATAAACAGCTTACACAGCTGGAAAGGCAGATTTAATGCAGAAACGTACATAAAGGTTTTACAGATGGTTGTGTGAGAGCGTCACCTGTGGCTGTTGGTGACGACCTTGCTCTCCGGCTGGCTGCTGGGCTCCTCGCCCTCCCTGCTCCTCAGCCTCTCCTGGCGCGCCCTGCGCCTCCTCTCGCGGGCAGCCTCCTCCTCGTCATCATCGTTCCTCATCATCCTGGAGGACAATAAGACAAGTCAAGCCAAAGGACATGGGGACCCTTTTTTTTTAAACGAAAGTAACTTTCAATCGTTCTCTCCCCCATCCTCAATTAAACATCGAAGTTAGAAACTTCAAAGTGAACGATTTCTTAAAGTGGACTGTAATCACCACAGTGACCAGAGCTGATGGATTTGCTTCGGGCTCTCCCCCTTCTTTCCTCTTATCAAGCTGACCTGTCAGCTGTGAGACAACTAATACTTCTTATCGAGGCTGCAGTTTTCACGAGCAGATAAAAAAGCAGGGTCTTGGAGCTTTGGCTGAGGATAAGAGAGAGCCATGAGTTTCTGCCTCGTCCTGATCTGGTCCAAGTTGCGACGGAAACTTTTTATCCTTCTTGGAGGAATTTAACGCCGCATTAAATTCAGCAAATCAAATTTCTTTAAAGTGAACAAACTGAAATGTACTCTGCTCTGTGAAAGCTGTTATTTTGTGCTGACATGGGCGCTATGAGCCACCTGCTGCAGATGTGGGAACCGAAGACCGATAAAAGAGGACCGAACCTCTAATCTACAATTTGGACGGGAGTGGAAACCTCTTTTTTTTTGTCTGTAGTGCCAAATCTCTTCCTGAGCTGCTGTTTCTGTCCACCTGACATTTCTGAACCGAGCTCCGCACTTCATCAGAGTCGGCCTCGGCTGACCTCCGCCCCCCCCCCCCACATCACAGCCTTTGATTCCGGCCAGCCAAGCATGCCGTTGCATGTTAATCGCAACATGTGTGGTGAGCGGCACTAAAGCTGCTCTCGTTTGAGGTTTTACAGCTCGTGAATTTGTTTTTTTTTTAAGTTCCTTTCCTGCCTCCTTCCTCAGTTTCTCTCTCAAATGAGAGATGTTGTCATAACTGAACAGATGACTGCGCTAACGCCCAAACCGGGCCGGTGGGACGGTGAAATCAGCYGCAGGCAATGCTTCGCACGTGTGCCTGCTTAGCTCGGATCGGTTCAGAAAACGGGATAGATGGAGCGGGYAGGGCTCCAAACTTAAGGGTGGAATGCAGATTTTGATCTGCAACAGGTAAGATATTGTTTCACAGAAACTCATTTCTAGAGCTCAACTRAGTGAAGCTGAGCTCCAACTGTTGGTGAATCATGAGGGAGTCTCTGAAGGTCTTAAAATGTTTGTGAGGTTCCATAACTTCCTGGTGAGCTGCATGGACTTACCCCCTTAAATTCTAAACATGTTCAAAAAATGGAGTACGACATCTTTTTTTTCAAAACCATTGCAGAGTTCTCTCAGGRGTCTCAAACCTTTCCATAAATTTTAGAGCTCTAGAGCTGGATTTTATCACCTGCATGGGAGTTCTCCTCTGAGAACATTTAAATCTGTAGGCCTGAACGTCTGGGTCTGAAAAAAGCAAACACTGATGGTAAACGAGGGATAAAAACTGGTCTAAATCTACTTCATGACATTTCTAAAGTCTTGTACATTAAATCYTAAATGTGTAATTTGCTGCCAAGTTGGGTATGAAGTGGTAAAGTATTGTGCACTGTCATTGGCAAAATGTATACGCAATAACTGGATCTTAAAAATTGTCTGCTTTCTTTGAGGCCTTAAAGTGTCTGACATGCTTATTCTTCAAATACAAAAAAATCAAAGAAAAAATCTTTACATTTAAGAAAGTTAGAATAATACATACGATTTAACCCATTTTGGCCTATAGCTAGCAAATTTTCTTTTGAACTGGGCTCAGCCAAGGTGAAACAGGAAGTGACATCAAAGGGGATCTTTTCAACAGAAAACTCTCTGGTCTTTGTTTATTGAAACAATGTTATCTCAACTGTTTAGTTTTGTAAATTTTTAAAAATACATTTTAACACAGTCGGAGCCATTTTATTTACACGCAAAGTATTCTGGGTAAATGATGATTTGGATAGGTCCTCGGTGTGAGCGAGTTATATCCACCCTGAAGGTTAATCTGGGACAATATCTGATGATCGACTCTTTTAAATGAAACCAGAGAGCGTTGACAGAGAGGAGAAGGTAGAAATGACTCAGCCTGGAACTGAAAATATAGATGGAGGACAACAGAACTGCTTCATGGAAGAAGAACCTCAGCTTAGCCTGTTAGCTTTAGCATTAGCACCCACGCTATATTGCCTTATATGTATTAGCTCTGTTTACATGCAGACATTCCCCTTTGACATCACTTCCTGTTACTTCACAGGCAAATATCTCAAAAACTGTTCATCTCAGCAACATGAAATTTCTTTTGCAATATTTTATCAATGTCCTCTTTCTAAAATGCATTCATATGTATTACCAAGATTTGACYTCAGGCACTTTAAAAACGGCATTTTCCCATGTTACAGTAAAAAAAATAAACAGTATAATATAAAATTTTGTAACATTGTTGCTGGAAAAGCGCAGCGATCACTGCCTACAGTTTACCTACATTTGTTAAACAGCATTCAAAGTATCGCTGAGTGTTTCCACACATGAACCGACTTCTGCTAACAGCACATTAACCCTTATTTAAATTGCCATGGTAATGCAATGTTTCGTTTTGTTGTTGAGAAAAAACAAATTCATTAAAATAGCAGCAAAAACAACCGCCGCAGCTCCCACGGGACGGATCCGTCCCAGAAACGGCACGGCGTGTCATGAGAAACGGGGAAGCTAAAAATGGAACAAAAGAGTCCTCGGCGGCGCTGACGACGACGACAAATCTCAGGGTTAAAGATTCCCCAGCAGGAGAGGAGAACAAACTCCTGAGAGCTGAATTAGCGATCGAGCCAATCACACACTCAACTCGAGACACACACACACACACCGGGAACAAAGCCCTGATTTCATATCCACCTCCCTTCCATCAGCATACTGACAGAAATATGAGGTGGAGGCAGGAGGACCGGGGCAGGGGAAGGAGAGCAAGTGGATCAGGGAGCAGGGATAAAAAGGAGAAGCGGGAAATGAAAAACGGGAAGGAAAGGGTGTGAGCAATAATGGAAAAAAAAAACGACTAATCTGTTGATTTTATCGGGCTCGACTTTTCCTGCACGAAATGATGTGCAGCCTCGGTGAAAACTTCAGCTCTGTGTGAGAGTGTGCAACAGTTTCCAGGTAGACGAACACAGAAACGTAAAGAAAAACTCTGATCTGACAGTTCATAAAATAACATTTATACTGAAAACTATAAAGCATTAAATAGATTTTAATCATTAAATGTGTTTCAACTAACTATTTAATTCAAGATGGCTGCCACAGCTAATCAATATTAGCTAACTCTGGTTAGGGCTAAAAAATATCTGGAAAAGTTTGCATTTTTTCTGATTTTGATTGTAAAAATCAACCATGTTAAACAATTTCAATGCTATGTGAATGAGCACAGACAGTACAAAACAGCAACATTTATWTGGAACAAAGATGAGGTTTGGTCATTCCTACATGTTGGAAARGTTTGATTAACACAAACAGCCTTCTTCTATCCTCACATTAGTGCAGAAAAACTATTGACTGCAGCCGTCGGTAGTGCGTAAATTTCACACCGATGTTGGGAGTTTCCAGAAACCAACACTCTAAAACCTGGATTCAGTGTCAGGGAATATGGCAGAAATGCTACAGTTTTGCTTAAAAATGGCATTATGAGAGTCAGCATCTCAGATACAGCGGGTAAAAAAAGTATTGAACACGTCACCATTTTTCTCAGTAAATATATTACTAGAGGTGCTAATGATATGAAAT